CGCCGCCCCGCCCGCACGCTGCCTGGGGCCCTCACCCCGCTTGGGCACTCACCGGTCCGCTCCGGTCCCTAAGGCGGCGGCCGCACACCCGCCGCCGCGCCTGCTGTAGGTTCCTACCCGGGGGCGGAGCCGGGCGCGGTGCGCGTGCGCAGTGCGCGCGGGTGCAGCGTGAGGCCGTTGTCCGAGGTCCCCCAGGCTGCGCCTCCCGGGAGCTCAGGCTCGACCCGGCCGAGCCGTCTGCGCACAGCTTCGCCTGCCCAGGGGCCGGGCTCTGGGCGCAGCGCCCAGCCCCACCCGCTGCACCCGCAGCGGGCACCGTCCGCACGCGCACTGCAGGCCCTGCTCCAGGAGGCGGATTCCGCGCCCGGAGCCTATCAGATGCCTGCCCGCATGGAGCTTTTAGTCCTGCTGCGGGCAATGGAAGCTGAGCAAAGGCGCCCAGGTCCCCGACCTGAGTCCTCTTCCTTAGGGAGCAGCGTTGCAGGAGATAGTCCTGAGGTCCTGGGTTTGAATCCCTCTCCTGTGCCTGCTAGCTGCTGGACCGGGATGTGGAAGCCCTCGACCCCTTGAGTCTCCATGCTTCGTGTCTAAAGCTGCAGAAGACCAAACCTGAGTTCCAGAGCCTCATCCAGCATTCAAGTCGTGAGCCTCAGCCGAGACCACGGTTGTGGGACAGTCTGCAACGTGTGAGCTCCTTCAGGGCCCGATGGCTCTCCAGCCTCCTTCTCCATAACCGGTGCCCCTCCACCAGGCGCGCACCCGGGCCTTCCTGAGCAAAGAGTTGCCTAGAACAGACTCGCTGTGAGCAGACGGAGCCCCGCTGGCCAGGGTTCCCGTGATTGGGATCTCGGCGCTGCTCCCCACAAAGTAGACCAGCCCCGGATTGTGGCGGGCAGCAGCGCCCCTGCACGGTGCAGGTTCTCCACAGTGATGGTGCAAGTTCGGTTCAAGGCTGTGGTAGGGGAAGGGCCAGGGCTGGCGCCTTTGGAAGAAAGAGGCCGGCGAGCCTGGACGGTGGGCAGGACACCACATGGAGATGTAGGGTTCGCAGGCGGTGCGGTGCCCAAGGGAGAGGTGGAGATCAGCAAGAACGCTAGGCACGGGCCATGACCGCTGGCCTTGAGAGCAGCGAGGCCCAGAACGCCTGCTCCTGGTGCAGTCCTCTTGGCCTTGTCCTGATAAAGGAGCCCGGCTCAGAGACAATGCTGGCTGATGGGCTTCTCGGAAAAACACAGCTGCAGAGTTCAAAGTCTTCCCACAGGAGTGGGGCAGGTTGGGAAGGGCACTGAGAATCTGAACTGGTCCCTGCCTGAAAATCTCTAGCGTTAAAGGAGCCAGATCGGGAAACGAAGGTGATTCCATGTAGCAGAGAATCAATCAGAAGTCTACAATTTAGAGAAATTGTTCTCCACATCTTAGCTTGCTTTTTGTCGTCTGACCTTGTAACTTCCAAGCGTGGGTCACAGTTCTGCACTTTTTTTTGGGTACCAGGGATCGAACTCAGGACCTTGTGCTTTCGAGGCAGGCAGCACAACCAAGTTCTGCACTTTTTAGACTCATAGAATTGATGAAAGGTATTGCAGGTTTCAAGTTGGAGATGTTGCCAATCCCAGCTCTCTCGTACAAAGAGAGAGCAAGCCTGTTCTCTAGTTTGTCTAAACCTCAGGTTTTACGTAAAAGTCAGTAATAGAACCTTCTTTCTCCAGGGAGGCATCCACATGGAACAAGAGAAATTGGGCGACGATTTATAGGAAGCAACCAAAAACCTACCCTCACATTTCTCAGAAGCCCAAATGCAGGGAGATAAAATGGGTCTAGAAATGGGATGTTTACATCCTGGAAGAGGATCCCGCGGGGGTAGAAACCACTCTTGCAGAAACCTTGATAGTTGGTTGAAGTGTTGTTCTGCAGAAGCCTTTGGATGGGGGGCCAGTTCATCCGGCAGTGTGAACCCCTCACCCTTCCCACACTGACATGGCTGCCCTTCATGCTTCCTTCCCCACCCTCCTGCGTAGTTCCCCTAAATTCTTGTTTTAGTTTTCCTTTGTACTTTTCTTTAGACTTTAAAACATGTATTAGTACGTGTCCGCAGTCCATGCAGTTTACAGTCGTCTTGGGGAGTGGGTACATGCACATACCACAGCTAGTTTCCTTTTCTTAAGCCCCTACCCGTCCGTCTCCCTCTCTCCTCCTCCACTTCTTCTACTCCATTTTCATTCTTGTTGCTATTACTAATCTCAGCTCATGCTATAGCATATAATGTTTACACTCACTGGGGTTCTTAGGTTCCTGTACATGGCACGTCTTTATTCTACTTATTTCTTCTCTTTCTCCTCGCCCTTTACCCTTGTTCCCTTGGACCCCTTCCCTGTTGCAAGAGATCTGTCCGCTTGTCCCCTTCTATTTCACTCAACATTGTATTTTCCAGGTGCATCTATTGCTCAACAAATGTCTCAAATTTGCCATTCTTTATAGCTGATTAATATATATATCTCACATTGTCTTTATCCAGTCATCTGTTGATGGAGATACCAGCTGCTATTATGAGTTGTGCTGCTAAAGACATTGGGATGCATGTATTGCTGTAGTATGACGTCTGAAGCTCTTTGGGGAAGATACCTAGAAGGCAGCTAGCTGGGTCACGTGGAATTTCTAATTTCAGTTGAGAGATTTCCATGCTGAGTTCCACAACGGTTGTACCAGTTTACATCCCCACCAGCAATGAAAGGCGGTTCTTTTTTCACCATAGGCATGCTGGCATTTGTTGCACCTGAATTCCTGTTTTGGTGTTTCATGGGTCACTTCTGCTGTGGACTGAAGGGTGTCCCCTTGCGGTTAGGGTTGAGATCCAGAGGTCCCCTAAGAGCCTCCTGCATGTATAGGTGGGGCTTCGAGAAGGGAATTGGATTATAGGGTCTTAAAGTTGATTTGCAGTTAGGAAGTGGGGTCTGGTGGGAAGGGGTGGTCACGGGGGCCTGGAAGGGTCTGTCTCCCTTCCTAGCTGCTCTCTTTGCCCTCTGCTCCCTGTCCACCATGCCCCAATCCCCATGGAGACCTGGAGCCAGCCCACTATGGACTGCAACGTAATCCACAATAAATCTCTTCTCCTTTAATGTTCCAGCATCAGGGATTGTGTCTTAGTGACAAAGAAAGTAACTAAGACATCTGCCTACCTGTGAATGTGACCTTTTGGAAGTAGGTTCATTGTGATCATTGTCATTAAGCAGGGCCTTTTCCCTTGAATGGAAGAGGAGGTAAGAGAGGTGACTCCCTCGTAGCGACACAGACTCACAGAGGACAGGCCTGAAAAGTGAGGCACAGACTGGAGTTAAAAAGCCACCAGGAAGCTGGGAAGGCCAACAAAGGACCACCCCCCCAAGGTTCTGGAGGGTAAGAGGGTAAGAGGCACCAGCTGCCCTGCGGCACGGCCTCGGGCACTCAGCACACCTTGGTGGAGCAGTGATGGAGTTCAGCTTCTGTCTCAGTGCTAGGGTGAGAGGTGCAGCCTTCAGGGAGCGTTCATTTTGTTGGGGATTGCAGACCACAAACCAGTAAAGGAAAACATGAAATTAATGTGCAGGCAGGCTGGATGCCAGGGAGGAAATAAAGCTGGGTAGTGCATCATGGCAGGGAGTGGGTGAAAAGCGAGAGAAGGGATGACCTGGAAGGTGCAGGGGAAGAGCTTTTGAGATGGTCTCTGGGGGATGGGGGCAGAAAGAGTTTTCAGCGGGGGGGAGGAGCATGTGCAAAGGCCCTGGGCCACGCAGCACACCGCATATTTGGGGAAGAGAAGAGAAAGCCTGTGGATTTAGATCATCCTGGCACTTATAAATTGTGTGATCTTAGGGGGTCCTTTACTGAGTTCTGCTTTCTGTTCCTCTGCATAGCCGTCCACACCACATTACCCCGTTTTATTTTTCTCAAGGAGCCTCCAGCATTCCCGAATATTAATTAGGTCGCTGGACTAAAACCCCACTGCCCCTTAGACCCACACTGGGAGCTTTGCGGGGCCCTCAGTCGCTGTAAGAACACACAACAGAAGGCCAAAGAAAGTGCCCTTGTCCTCTCCACTTTTCAGAAATTTCTACAGCTCCTTCAAGCCTTAGCTTGCTCACCTATGAAAGAGGGATGAAGGCCTCTTCGCCCCAGAGCTGGTGGGACGCAGGCCTGGTACTCGCCGCACTTAGCTCTCCTCCAGCGAAGTCCTGGGGCGTGGGGTGTGGACGCTTAAATCTGAATCCCGACACATCACTCACCTCTCTGGCTTTGTGACCTTGGGCGAGTTACTGCCAGTCTCTGAGACGGTTTTCTCGGCTGCAAAACGGGAGTAACCAGAGCAACCTTTCCGCGAGGTCGCCAGGCGGACGAGGACCCGGACCCTCCCCGGTGGCCCGCCCAACAGTGGCGCTGCCCTTCCCGGGTGAGCCCAGCCCCGCACACCCCGTTCCGCAACCTCTGGAGCCACGGGAGGTCGCAGAGTAGCGCACCGGGCATGCGCGGCCGGTAGAGCCTAGGGAGGCGGTGCAGTGCCGCCGGTGGCCGGAGGCGTCGCTGCGGAGCCGGCCCTCGTTGCGCGGGCGTGTAGCGCTCTACCCGGCTAACAGCAGTGCGGTGCGCTCACCTGGCCTGGAGCTGCCACCTGTGCCGCCTGGAGCTCGAGCATCTGTACCCTGGGGGGTATGCCGCTGCTTTGCTTTGGTTTCCTTTGTGCCTTAGGATCGGGGCGCCGGTGAGCTAGCCTAGGTCTGTGCGGGGCTCTGGGCACCACTAGGTGCGCTCCGCGACCCCAGGAGGGCGTGGGATCCGCAGGTCTCCCCAAGGGGTCACCACCACCACCGCTCCCATTCTGTCAGACCCACGAATAAACGCGCGGCGCCCCCTCAGGGCTGTAAGCTCCTCAGCGATGGAAGTATGTCACATGCATGTATGAAAACGTCACCATGAAACCTATTTTCTGCATGATGAAGGCCAGACCTCTGTTTTGTTCGTTGGGCAGGTCCCAGGGTCCAGTGTACTGCTTGGCAGAGAACAGGGCTGGCTTCCAGGCCCGGCCTGGCCAGAGCCATCAGCATCCCTTGTCGAGGCGGGGCTATGCAGTGTGGGGATCTGGGGTCTTGGCTTGGCTGGGAGGGGAGGCACAGAGAAAGGGGGAGGGGCTTTTAGAAAGTCCTGGCAATCAGACACCGCCTTCGACGGGGCAGAGCAATTTGCTTGGGCTGTCACTCTTGGCTAGGGCTGCTTAGAAAGGCGCAGGCTCAACATCATACTAAATGGTCAAAAACTGAAAACTTTCATGCTAAAATCAGGCACAAGACAAGGATGCCCACTACCACCACTCCTGTTCAGTTTTGTTCTGGAAACATTAGCCATAGCAATTAGACAAGAGAAAGAAATAAAAGGAATAAAGATAGGAAAGGAAGAAGTGAAACTCATTATTTGCTGATGATATGATACTTTACATAGAAGACCCAAAAAACTCAGTCAAAAGCCTTCTAGACCTAATTGACAGATTCATTAGAGTAGCTGGATATAAAGTCAACACTCAAAAAACAATAGCCTTCTTATACGCAAATAGCAGACACATTGAGAGAGAAATTCAGGAAATAATTCCTTTTACAATAGCATCTAAGAAAATGAAATATCTAGGAATCAACCTAACAAAGGAAGCAAAAGACCTCTACACTGAAAACTACAGCACTCTGAAGAAGGAGATCAAAGAGGATATAAGAAAATGGAAAGATATCCCTTGTTCCTGGGTAGGAAGAATCAATATATTGAAAATGGCCATACTTCCCAAACTACTATATAGATTTAATGCAATACTGATTTAAATTCCAACAATATACTTTACAGAACTAGAGAAAACAATCCAAAAATTCATTTGGAAGCAGAAGAAACCTAGAATAGCAAAAGCAATTCTAGGCAACAGAGACATGGCTGGGGGTATCACAATCCCCAACTTGAAACTATA